GGGTGTTTAAAGGGATGTAGAAAAAGACTAAAGTTATTGAAATAACCATAAAAATTGGCCAAATATGCATTGATTTAAATGAATTCCCATGTTTACAGCAGTTTAATATATTAAAGCTTTTGGTCAATGACTCCTAAACTTAATAGAAGTTTTCTTGAGGGTTTTGTCAGAGTCCGTTTAAAGTTTTTTTTATATATATTGAGTGTAACCCTGTAGCACATAGAATCAGGTGATCTCAGCTGTGAGGCATTTTGGGAAAACATCTGATTCTTTTTTCACTTGTAAGTAGCTGTGCGTATCGGCAATGAAAATTCGGTATATCGATATCGCGATATTCTAAATTTACAATATCCAACACCGATATATTTACTAAAATAATATCGATATATTGAATATCGGAAATTTCGAAAACGAAATGGTTAATAAAGATATATTGGCGCGTATTCATAGTTCAGCAACTAAGGGCCATTTGCACCATGTCTAGTTAATTCTAACTCCCAGTTAAACATCTTTATCGACGTTATCGACATCCATCATTTAACATGTGATCGATAAAGCAGTTAACGTGCTTAACTGAAGGATGTACCTCCAGTTAGCGTTAACTAGACATGGTGCAAACGGCCCTAAGTCGAAACTAACAAAGTTGCAACTTAAATTTAAGTACCAACGTACAATTTACCTCTATTCATAGTCGCATTTCAGACTTCTACTAAGTAGTTACGACTTAGTTTACGATATAGCAAAATGAGTGTGAAAATGTATCGATTATTCTTTACGATATTTTGGAAAAATTACATTTTTTATTAAATAATGTCAAGTTTGATTATCCGTTTATGTAATTTTTATTTTCATTGCATGATTATGCAAAAGAATAAGGTATCATTTTCTTGTTAATTGTGTGAAATAACCAGAACAACCGCAGTGATGTGAAGTCGATGTTTATCGAAAGCATGCTGTGAAACATACAAATAGTAGATATCTAAGGGCCGTTTGCACCATGTCTAGTTAATTCTAACTCCCAGTTAAACATCTTTATCGACGTTATCGACACCCATCATATAACATTTGATCGATAAAGCAGTTAACGTGCTTAACTGAAGGATGTACCTCCAGTTAGCGTTAACTAGACATGGTGCAAACGGCCCTAAATGTTATGCACAAATTTACTTTAAAAGAACTAGCGTGAAGCTGACTTATTATTTGAGAATTTATCTAAATTATTCCAATTATTAAATTGTGATGTAGCTTTATTCGAATTGTAATACGCATTTAATTTCTTCTTCCGAATGAAATGGATCGATCTTTGTAAATTTTAATTGGAGATTATTCAATATTATCAAAATCACCCTCTACTAACTTAATTTTTACACATTTCGTCTGTTTTCCCTTAATTTGATAAAATACTTCTTCCTAGTTACGACTTAGTTGCAGCTGCAGCCGAAACTAAATTTTAAGTTGGTACTTAGCCAGAAAAGTCGAAACTAAGGTGACTATGAATAGCTTTAGTTGTGACTTAGAATAGTTTCGACTTAGTTGAGTACAAAATGACTATGAATATGCGCCATTGTTTCGATATTTTAGGGCCGGTTTCCCTATCTCCGGTTAACACTAATCCCCCGGTAAACATCGTTACCGACCTTATCGACTCCCTGTTATATGCATGGAGTTAGAACGTCGATAACTATGTTTAACCGGAGATTAGTGTTAACCAGACATTGAGTAACCGGCCCTTAATGAGAAAAAGTGGCAACATTGCATTTTCGAGTATACAGTGGCTAGCTGCCATTATTTGGATAAAGAAAAGTTAAGAAAATTCAATATCGATGTGATGCTGATAGAAATCTGTATCAATTTGTGATCAATTCTGTTTGTTTTGTTTCCTAATTAAGTGAGGAAATTTGAATTGACAGCACCGACAAATGAATATATACCTAAACAAATGGTCGGTCATGGTTAAAACAATTCAAATTTTTGTATTGAAGTTTTGGTTTAAAATTTATTTTTTCCTTTTCAGTAGGGTTTTTGCACATTATCTTCTGCGTGAGAATTGATCGTAATAGATACGGATCTGAATAAGTGACTGGAACACGGCTGTTTGTCAAAAGCATACGATTTCGAACTCGCGTAAATGTACATTTGCTAAATGCGATAGCATGAACGCTCTTCGAAAACATATGTTCGAAAGTGCTAAATGTTGCATTTTAAGGGCCGGTTACTCAATGTCTGGTTAACGCTAATCTCCCGTTAAACATAGTTATCGACGTTACCGACTCCCTTTTGTATGCATGGTGTCGAAGACGTCGATAACGATGTTTAACCGCAGATTAGTGTTAACCAGACATTGAGTAATCGGCCCTAAATGCAGCAAAAACGGTGCATTAATCGGAAGATGAAATTAAATGCGTATTACAATTCGAATAAAGCTACTAGAGGGTTCAGACTATCGATAGGCACACCATCGATAGTTTTGATAGTTTTCAGAAAAACTATCAATATTCACGATAGTCTCGAAAAATACAAAACTATCGATAGCGCTATCGACAACGCTAAATCAGTTAAGGCCCGTCCACATAGAACTTTGGCGTTGCGTTGGCGTTGGCGTCGCTTCAACAGCTGACTATGAATACATGAATTCAAATGCAGCCGTCCACATAGCCAAAATTCGACAACGCTCACGCCAACACAAAGCAAAAAGATGGCCAACTCTCATCTTTTCGCGTGCGTCGCTCGTCAGCTGTTGCAAATAAATAAAATTATGTGAAATATTTTCCTTTTTAATCAAGTGCGGGCAAGAAATATCGTTTTTAATGCAATTATTGATATGAAATATTAATTTATCTGTCGTTAGTATATTAATGTAGTGGCCCAAGCATTCGCTGCCAAGCGCTCATTGTAGCAAGCATACTTTTAACGTGCGTTCTGTCAAACCAACGCCAACGCCAAAGCTAACACGAAAGTTCTATGTGGACCGGCCTTTAGGTTTCTTTGTTTTTACAGGATCATAGTGAAATAAATATTATCTCATAAAAGTTATATTCATTCAAAATTAAGTAACTGCTTAGCCAAAATACTTCTCTTTTTAGAAAGCTCAAAAACAAACACAAGTTATACAAACAAAACAGGACTTACGAATAACACATGTATGTATATTGGCCTAAATAAGTGCATATTTGAATATGACTAAAAAACAAAATTTTTAATTCAAATTAAAAAATGCAGGTATTACCAACAATAGTTCGATAGTCCTACTAAACTATCGATATTTTTGATAGTATAAAAAAAAAACTATCAATGAGTATTGATAGTCTAAAAAAATTGAAACTATCGACACTATCGATAGTGCCATCGATAGTTTGACAACTCTAAAAGCTACATCAGAATTTTTTAATTGGAATAATTTATATAAATTCTCAAATAATAAGTCAGTTTCACACTAGTTCTTTTAAAGTAAATTTGTGCATAAGATTTATATATCTACTATTTGTATGTCACAGCATGCTTTCGATAAACATCGACTTCACATCAATGCGGTTGTACTGGCTATTTCCCACAATTAACAAGAAAATTATACTTTATTCTTTTGCATAATCATGCAATGAAAATAAAAATTACATAAACGGATGATCAAACTTTACATTATTTAATAAAAATGTAATTTTTCCAAAATATCGTAAAGAAAAATCGATACATTTTCACACTCGTTTTGCTATATCGTAAACTAAGTCGAAACTACTTAGTAGAAGTCTGAAATGCGACTATGAATAGAAGTAAATTTTAAGTTGGTACTTAAATTTAAGTTGCAACTTTGTTAGTTTCGACTTAGTTGCTGGACTATGAATACGCGCCAATATTGTTTCGATATCGTATCGCAACTCGTGATATCGATATAAATTGACCGATATGATGAACAACGATGTTGATATATTGAATATCCTATCGGTATCGCGCATTCCTACTTGTAAGTATGCACAATGAAATGGTTGAGAGGGAAAAATCGGTATGCTCCTATGGGCCCTGTCTCACGATCAATATGGATCGCGATCCAGTATCGTGATCCATATTGATGCATGATGCTCCACTCTCTGCTATGCTACACCTTCAATATTTATCGCGTCATTATTTTCAAACTTTTGAACTGTGCAAGTCGTTTTTAAATAAGAAAAATGCAAGAAAATTCAAAAAGAGCGTGTTTAGCCATATTACTGGCATTTTCATTAAAAAAAAAGAAACAAAGATGAAGTATGGGAGTCGAAGATGGTACCTGGAGCGGCATAGGTACACTCATTTGAGATTATTGGATTCGATTCGACTTTGCAAGGAATTAAGCGACTACGAAAATTACTTTCGGACCTCCACTGAAAGTTTCGACCATATTCTTGAATTAATCAGCCCATATATAACTAAGCAAGATACAGTTATGAGAGCTGCCATTTCGCCAACAGAAAAACTGGCGGTGACTTTGCATTATTTAGCAACAGGAAGGGATGTACCCAAATCTAATGATATTTGTTCACAACTTATTGTGATTATTTTACAGCTACTTTAAGCAGGTGCGGTATACAGCGATTATGTCGCGGCAAGCAATAAGCGAAGCGATCATGGATACATGTGAAGCTTTGATATACGCTCTTCGAAACTGCATTAAAGTAAGTGTACTAAATGATACACATGTACATATGGTATTTTGTTATAATTTATTCAGAAAACTGTGCAAATAAATACATATGATTTATGTAATAATTTTAGTTGCCAGGGAATGATAAAAAAAGAGATCTTAGTGAGTATTCCTCTGTGCTTTGTATTTCTTCAGTGGCACCTACTTCAGTATTGTATATTAGCATTGCTTGGCTACTTGGAGGCAATTGCGAGGAAAAACTAAATTGCGAAGATAGAATAGGAGACGGAGTATGCGGGTAGTTAGGTGTTATATATTCACTCTGCAGAGGCATTCCAAAATTGGAGTCTGGTGAAGGTGTTGGCGGTGGTACATAAATAGGTGGCGGTCTTTGGACTCGAATAGCTTTAATATCTGGTTGCGGTGATGATTCAGAGAAACGTGGTAATGGTGGTAATTGATTATACATTGTGGGTTCTGGTGTCGGAGCTGATGACACATCCGTGTTGCAAGCGTCTGGGTATACAATTATTTTAACAGAGTTACGTCTCAAGTTACCCAGTTCTGCTTCAAATAAAATATCATTAATTCCTTTTTCAGCTGGCATACGCTGCGTTGGATTTAGATGCTCTAATTTTTCACTCCAGTATAATGCCGTTGCGTTTATGTTTGTAGAACTTTAGGGTGCAGACAATAGGGAACATGCTTTTTCAATTAGCTCGTTTTGTTTAGCCACTGCACAATTTTTTTTGTTTTTCCGAGGAGGAGCCAACTCGCTAATAGATGAAAAGGAAGTGTTAGATAAGTCCTCTCTATTTGTCTGCTCCTCAACTTGCAATTCGTCACACATTTTGCGATTCTACCTAGTTCTGAAAGAAAGAAAATTATTGTTAATTGATAAAATTGATTTTAATTCTTTACATTTATGCCCGTTTGCACCAATCAATTTTAAAATTATCAGCCTGTTAAAATTTAAAATGATAAAATGTAGTTCGGAAAATTTGTCATTTTAAATTTTAACGGTCTGATAAATTTTAAAATTGATTGGCGAAACTGAGAGTTAATTTTATATTTTATTTATAAAATGGTTTTCAAATTTCTTTTTTTAGATGACTAGTACAGCAGAAGAGTGGAGTAGTGTTTCTGATGAATTTCGTGTATTACATAATTTTTATAACTGCATCGGCGCAGTTAACGGGAAACACGTAAAAATAAAGCGTCCAAATGGTTCGGGAGCGCTTTATTATAACTATAAAGGAACATACAGTATCGTTCTTATGGCTACTGCGAATGTTAAAAAGGAATTTGTCATGGTTGATATTGGATGCAATGGACGCGTGTCTGATGGTGGTGTCTTGTTTTACACTAAATTCTGGGAGCGTTTGCAACAAAATCGTTTAAATATACCGGAATGGACACCATTGCCAAACACCTCGAAATCATTCCCATATGTTTTTATAGGAGACGAAGCTTTCGAGCTAGGCCCTAACTTTATGAAGCCTTATCCTCAAAAAAGAGTATCACAAGAAGAACAATTGTTTAATAAACGGTTATCGAAGGCTAGATGTGTCATTGAGTGTGTGTTTGGTATCCTCGCCAATAAATTTGGAGTTTTCCAGAAAGCCATAAGTCTCAGCCCGCAGAAAGCCGCAAAAGTGACAGCAGCTTGTTTTTATCTGC